TATGATATTAATAATGATCTTATAGTTAAAGTCGTAGTTATCCCTTAGGTTAAACTTAAACCTTCTTAGGGTAGCACCCTTTAGCTAGTAGTAGTGATAAAATTTACTAATAATCTTAAGTATAGCAAGGTTAGGGTTATAACTAGTATCCTTAAGTAGATAATAAAGATGGTTAGCTACTAGGTGACTAAATTGTTAATAAAGTCGTTAAAGTTTATTCTCTGTAAAGAACATGCCTACCTTGTAGCTTCCTAGAAAGAACTATGGATAACCCTACTTCTAGGTTACTAGAATGGTTACATCTAGGCCTAAATTTCGTAATAATACTAATTCGTTAGTAGTATTGTGGAAATAGACCCCTAGCTTATCTATGTCTTAGACATACATCAGGAATAGGGTTAGAGCCTCTATAATATAGAAGGTAATAGGCTCTATAGTCGTCTTTATAATTATTATACTAATTAAGGTAAGATAGGATCCCTTTCTAAACTTAATGACGGCCTCGCTAGCATGGCTAGTATCTATAATAATAGAAGGGTTCTCTTGATTCAGGGCTAAGTATTATTTACAACCGACAGTCGAGAATTATATAGCGCTGGTATTAGGGATAATACCTTAAAATTTGTTATAAGAATATCTTTCTTCTAGTATAAATTAACTTACTAGGATAACAGCATTATTAGTCTTGTCAGCATCGTTAGGGCCAAGCGAGTATAGAAACAAAGTATTAGCAAGGAGCTGTTAAGCTTCCTTATAACTATTCAGGTCGTCCTCATACTTATTATAAGTATCTTTTAAAGTAACGTTAAGTCCTTTAAAGTTAGTAAGAAAAGAAGTAAACTTGATATTGGATATCAAACGCCCCTTGATTTCATAGATCAAGAGATATTACTTGTATACCTTCCAACGTTCCTCAAAGGTATGGTTTGAAGACTAGCATCCTTCTTTATTATACATAAAGCAGTGTTTCTAATGATAGCTATGGTGGTAGTCATCACCTTAATAGCGGCCATCACCACAATAGCGGTCGTCACCACAGTAGCGGTTATCACCGCGGAAGCCGTTACGGCCAAATCGTGCTTAGAAGCCTAATCCGCGACCTTATTACCAATTATTCATATACTAACAATCAAGGTAGTATGTCTCGTTATCTACACTAACCTTATCTTCCTGAAGGAATCGTTAAGGTGTTATATAGTTAATACTCAGCTTAAGTAACGATTGTAGATCCTGAAAAAGACGTTTATACAGTACCCGCGGCGTGAAAAGTACGTGTTCGAATTTAGGTACTCCAGAGCAGGCGCGAAGTACTATTATACAAAGCATCTTGTCGCCCTAGTACTTGGGGCTAAGTACTTGCTAGTATAGCTATAATTTGTTAAGAAGTAGTGCTAGAATATTACAAAGGTTCTTATTAATATTATCTTTATCTTAATAAAGGGTCTTAAACATTACTATTATCTAATCATTATAGTACTACTAGTGATTAGTATTAGTATCAAAGTATTATTTAAGTCTTCTATAGGCTTCCAAGAATTCCACGCTTAGGCTAATATAGGTAATCTAGTATAGCTTAGCATAGTTAGTAAGAATTAAGGAAAGAATTATATAGAATTATAGTAGAGTAATGTTACAAGATTAGATAATAGAGAATATAATACAGACCTTATTATTAAGAAAGTTATAAGTATTTCTAGTCTATTTTAGCCTTTAATCCCAGGCCTTAGAAAAAGACATGACCTTATTAAGTTTAAGATCAGCATACTCTTAGTATCTTAGAGGGAGTGTGTGGTATGGATCTTCTAGATCTAGGGGTATAAGGGATAGTCTTAGGGTTCTAGTAGGGTATAGTATACTAGGAAATATTTAATCAGGCTACTCGTATTACTAGGTATTAGCTTACTAGTCTAGTAGCCAAGCAGCATCTTGTTATTCTTATAACTATAACGTTTCTTATAACCATTACTAGTCTAATAAGAACTTTGCTAGCAGCTGTTGGTTTTGTCGTGAAGCCTGTGCGGCATTCTACTATGACTCTAATATAGTACTAGTTACCTAACCTAGTTAAGGTGTAGCTCTTGCTTACTAAGATGTATACTATAGTAGTGGTGGTGGTTAAGGAATAATGCTTTCCTCTTTAGTCTTCATAACGACTTTGTTATTGTTAGCAATCTCTACTATGGAATCTGGCATGGGATCTAGTACGGGATCTAGTACGGGATCCAGAAGTTGAATTAGGCTATTATAAGTCTAAGCCTTAGTCTTTCTAGCTCTTATAGAGGTACCGTAGAAGCATGACTAAGGATGGATGGTATATACTAGAAGCTCTTTAGTTAGCCAGGCGGGGTATTCCTTGTAGGTTAAGAAGGTATCGATTTATGGTCTAATTTGTCTTCCCTATAGACTAAGGTAGACACCTTGCTGATAAGCAAGGTTTCAGAGTTCTTTCTTCCAGCTAATAGTAGCCTTACCAACTATCTTGGTAGTCTACTCTTTAAAGTAGGACTAGGTATTAAGCAGGAAGCTATTGTTGATATATTATATTTAATGTATCCTCTCTATTACCTTAAAGATGTATGTAGAGGCCTATTTCTTGTTAACCTTCTTAGTGTTAACTAGTATCTTTATTAGTAGTAGATCAACCTTTTCCTAGTTAGCTTTTGTAACCAAGTAGTACCGGCTTGTGATATTGTCTGCCTTTATTTCCTCCTTGATAGTTATTCCTTAGTATTTACTTGCTGCTAGGCTTTTAGTAGGAGAGTTAGTAGCAATAACCAGCATGTCCTCTTCCACCATTGTAATCAAAAAACTATTAATGTAGTTATTATAAAGAGTATCGAAACTCTTCTGGCTGCAACTTCTGACCAGCATAAGTACACCATTTACCCACAGGTAGTGGTCTTTAGCAAACGGAAGTATTATTACACAGTCTTACATGTAGAGTTTTCCTCTTTTTCTTATTCTCGACGTTGAAAAACAATAAAAACGAAGGAGTAGGAAAGAAAACAAAATACGTAGATGGCGGGGATAAAGTGTAGAGACCGCAAATAAAATACATGTAGTAGTAACCTTCGCTATTTGTATACGAGAAAGCAGACTGAAGGGAAGGCGCGAGAGAGGGTGTAAAATTGTTGTAGAGAAGGGTAATTGTAATGATTCAGGTGTAGGTAACGATGGTGAGAGAGAGAGAGAAGGTAAGTAATGATGGGAGAGGGCAAGTAGTGGTTTAAAGGGTGTAAATGATAATAGTTTTGGTTAAAAGTGATGGAAAAACAACGTAAAAATATATTGTGGTACGCTCTTTGATGTAGGAAAGTACTCTAAAGACTTGCCTACAACTATTCAGTAATAGTTAAGTGTAATAGACCGTTTAGTAATGGTTGATTTATAGGTAACCGTTTATAATAGTCGAATATAGGGCACTGATAGGTTGCTGTATAGGTAGTGCGGGGCTCTGAAGGGATATGTTGTTTGCAAGACTAAGTAAATGGTTTGTATGGTGTTTGGGTGGTAACTGTTTAAATTTTCTTAACTAGCCCCCTTTATAGTTATAGTTACTATACATACCACGGTAATGTTTGTAAGGGGTAGGGTAATTGGTTAAGTAGTTAGTAGGGGGTTCTTTTGGCCTTGAAAAGAGTGTTTCTGAGGGCTTTTGTTGATTTATACATTTGCTTAGTTAGATTCTTGGTGGTGTAAATAGGTAGTGTGGCCTTGAAATAGTGCTTTTGAGGGCTTTTATCAATATAATCGTTGTGATAGGTATTTATGATGATCTTGATGGTGTTTTCTTGTGTGATAGAGTATATTGATAGGTCCTAAATCCTTCCTTTACTGGGAGAAATCGGGTTATCTACGGGCTAATTGTTGCTAGTTAGTAAGGAGTACGTTAAATGTTAGTATACTAATCTGGTGATAATCTTAGTATAGATGTCGTTACTTAAAATGGCTTAAAAACCGTAGTGATGGTAATAGCGATCTGTCTCTTCCTTCCTTTCTATCAGAGATTGCCAAGTAATTACTAATTAGTGTTGGTTGGGTATGTAAATGAGTAATTACTCGAAGGGGTTACTAAAGTGGCTACTTGATAGCTTTAATTTGGTGGGTCTGTTATATGTTGCTTCTGGCTGACCCCTTCGTGGGTGGCGAAGCGCCTAAGTAGGGTGTAGCTAGAAGGCTGACTAATCTAAGGTGTGCACGGGCTAGTAGTTGGTCTAAGCGCCCTTGCTGCTAGTGGCTGCCTGAGATGACTAAGTAGCTATCTGTAGCCAGCTAGCCAGAAGTGGCTAGCTGTAGCGGTCCGCTTCAGACCGACACCTTCGGCTATCGCTATTGCTATTGCTATTACCCATTCCACATCTACCTTCTCTGATAAAATATTAAAACTAAATGCCCTAGCAATAAGCTTAATTATAAGAAAATTGGATTATTTAAAAATTTATAAAAACTCTTAGACACTAACTATAAACTCTTACTACCCTAGAAAATAAAGTAATACCTAGTCTTTTATATTTTACTCTTAGAACTAATACTATAAAATATAAAACTTAAAACACAAATTAAGACCATTAATAAATATAACAAAGAATATAAAGTAAAATAAATTATTAATTTATAATAATACTAGAAAATAATAAAATACCTTATTAAGTAAAAAGATTATAATATAAATAAAAATATATAGAAGCTAGCTAAAAACCTAACTCATTACCACCAGCTCCTTAAATAATACTAGGCCTAAAGCCTAGTTATAACTAGAAACTTATATATCTAGAGAGATAAAAAAAATCAAATTAAATAAATAATATAGAAGTCTCGCTAGAAATTAAACCCAGGTCTCCTACTTAAAAGCAAATGCCCTTCTAACTAGGCTATAAAGTCTTTAGTACTACTTACCCAATCCAGTCTGACAAAAACTATAACAGTCCCCCTTTTAAAGAAAGCTACAAACACCTCTTCTTTAAAAAAAAACAACCAAAAAAAAAAACAATCTACCTTAAAAATACCACCAGGAATTAAACCTAAGTCTCTGGCCTTAATTGCCAGCATTCTACCTATTAAACTATAAAACTATATAGGTAAAGTAGATCGTTATCTCCAAAAAACACTACAAAGCCCGCACCTATATATACAAGGCTATAGAACCTAGAAACTAAACAAGCTACCTATAGGCACATTTCCTTCACTACCAGAAATAGATACACCTAGAATCTCCAACAGATCTATATCCTCAAACACTATAGAACTCTAATCAAACATACCAACCTCCCCCTCTGCATAAAGCCAGGCTTCCTAATTACTAAAGCCGCTGCTTGTATTAGGCAACTCTCGACAGATAACTACAGCAAACCAGTCAACAATCTATTATCTCTCAGCCTCCGCCTCCTTACACTTAACTCGGTCCAGCTCCTTAATTATGTCCAAACCACGGCAAACAATATTTATTATTCTCTCGGCCTACAAACAGCGTTACTTTTAAAGACACTATACCTTTGCATTTACCAGCATGGCTTCCTTCTCTACGGCGTCTAACTTATTTTTAATTAAGAAATACTAACAGGCAATCTTTTGCATCTAAAACAGGGTAAGCCTATATATATTGTAGTTTCCCCGCTTTCTAAGAATATACTTAACGCAGCAAGAAAAGTCTTCCTCTAAAGCAGCACAAACAATGTTACTTAACTTATAAGACAAGCAAGTCGGCATCTTAAAGCAGCAAGATAGGGCAGCAAAATAAAAAGCTTAACTTTACTCAGTCTTCTTATAAAGACAAAATAATTTCAAGACCCGAAAATTTTCAACCCTACTAGATATAATAAATTAAAAAGGCGTAAATAAATACATAAATAATATACAGCTTATAGAAGCATCTTTGAGGACAAAGGATATAAGAAGGAAGATAATGTTATAAACCAACATATTGATACTAAGAAACCCGTTTAGTTAATCCTAACTATCTAAACTAGATACCACGATATTAGCTTAACAGTACTAGCCAGCAAAAGTCACAAAATTAACCAGACACTAAGGTTAGAGTTAGATACCCAGAGGGCCAGGGTAGACCGACAAGACTGCCAGCAGTCCTAACAATACAGGAGAGGACCGCAATAAATGCCAGCGGTCTAAATAATCTAACAACTAGGACGGATAAAGAGTCGGAACATATAAAGATATAGTCATCACTATAGTAGATAGCTTTTATAGAATAGACTCTTTAGTCGTTAATCTAAGTATTTAGTCTAACTATTAGATAGCCTTATAGTTAGTAATTATACTACCGTAAAAACAAACCATCCCTTGTATACTAAAAGGTTAAGAGTTACCTCTACGCCATACTACTAATATAAACCCTACAGGTTACCTACTAAACCCTATAAAGGTTTGGTGTAATTATAATATTAGGGTTATTCTAAACCGTTTAAAGGCTACTATGCTTGCTGCAGGCCTACCGCTATATCTATAGTATTTTACTATACCTGCTGTTTTAAAGTTAATTAACTCTACTGCTCTTATAAATAGAGACCTTACAGCCTATCAGGAACTATATAACAAGCTAGAGCCTTTTAAAACCTATAAATCCCTTTTGAAGAGGTACAGGGTTATAGGAGCTTACTGTAAGGTCTTTCTACCTAAAGAAAAGCGTCTAAAAGGCTATAAACTAGCCCCTAGGACTGAAACAGGCTATTTGTTAGCAGTATTAGGGAATAATATATACTAAGTATATATCCCTAAAAGGCATAAGATTTATGAGGATTTAAGCAGTATAGATATTAGTTTGGATACTAGTGGCGGTTTTGGGCTAGAAGAGGTAGTAGAGGGTCTCTCAAACCCTCTAGATAGGGATATAGACCTTATAACTGCCGGAGGGCCTATTTTAGGCCCCCAAAGCCTAGCGGGCCTCTTTTAGGCTCCCTAGAGCCTAGTAGGCCTCTCTCAGGCCCTCTAGAAGCAACTAGGCCTCTCTCAGGCCCTACTATACCTGCCGGGTCTATTTTAGACCCCCCAGAAGAACCTATTTTAGGCTTGCCTACACTCTCTACAAAAGGGGACCCCCCTAAGGGGTCCGGGGAATTAGAGGATATAGGGCCTATTCTAGGCCCTATAAAGTCGTCCCTAGAGGGTTTAGGTCTAACTCTACCTAAAGAAATAGACCTATTATAGACTAAATAGATTGTCTACTTTATTTTTAAGAAAACACGCCAAAAAGTATATATTACAACTAGTGCCCAAGCCCCCTATTATAAACTAACACGTTTGGCGGCAAGGGGACCCGTTTAAGTAACCCAGGCAACCCGGACAAAATGCTATAATGCAGGCCATTTGGCACTAGAGTATAGAATTACAAAATCAGCCAAGACCCAGAGTTAGAGTCAAGCTCGCAATACTTGCTTACAAGCCTAGCAAGCTAACTTAATAAGTAAATTGTCAAGCCTTACACTATAAATCACCAGCTTGCCTATAATAATTGTTGAACGAAATAGCCGCTACACTAGAAATAACCACTAAAAGCAACATGCTGCTCTTGGCAGCTACTCCAGAGAGCTTATATTTAGGTGTCAACGTCACCTGTTCTATAATAATATATAACCTTTTAACATATAGTCTTATAAATAAAGCTCTTCTTTGTAGAAAATACTAGCAAAGTAGTTGTAATTATAAGAAATAGTATTCTAGGCACTCTATATGCTAAGAATTATAGATTTAAATCACCTATAGAGTAAAAATAGCTCCTTTTTTATAGTTCTTTCTAAGCTTTATAGGCCTAAACCAGCACTTTTGCTAGTCCGCTAATTAGTACTAAAGAGCGCTATAATATATAAAAAGATAGGCTTTTTAGGGCCTAATTTAATAAAGTTTCGGGGACCTTTAAAGCACTGACTGCTAAAAGCCGGGTTTATAACCTCTAAAGATTAGTAGATTGAATAGATGTTAGTTAGTAGTAGGGTGCCTAGAGGTCTTGTTAGGATACTTGAGAGTAGTTTAGACAACTTTGTATTAAATTCAAGTAGGCTTCTATCAGCCCTCCTTATAGTTCCTCTAACATCGTCTTACCCGCGGGCACACGTGGGTTGGCTTTGGTATGTAAATAGAGAGGCTAGAAAATTTGGCCCTCAGACCTACTATCTTTGGCTTCAAACAGCCAGCCAACCCTAACCCTGACAGTAACCAAACTAAATATAGATAAACTTTAGAAATCAGGCTATCTAATAAACTAGGTTACATACTGGGTAAGAAATAAGGGTAATGCAGAGGTACGAAGTGAGGGTCTTAAAATAGCCTAAAAAATCGACTCACGGCCACCAAACTTATCTTTCGGCGCGCACACCCTATAGGCAGAGTTGTGATTATACAGAAATTATGCAATTATACAATTATATAATTATACAAGACCTTTAATTATATAATTATATAAATAATTATACAATTATACAGTTATACAAAAATTATACAATAAAAATATTTTCAAATATATTATTTTTTAATTAAAAATAAAACTTTATAAAGTAAAAAATATATTATTATTATTGTTAAACGGAAACGCTCATTTAGGTGTGGGCGCTACACATAGGGAGTTACCCTAGACTTCACGAAAGGAGTTACCCTAGACTTTTTGCTAGTGGCGTGCGCGCTGGCAGATGAGTTTGGTGGCCGTGAGCCGATTTTTTGGGCTGTTTTAAGACCCTAACTTCGAACCTCTGCATTCCCCTTATCTCTTACCCAAAAAGCATGTAACCTAGTTTGTTAGATAGCCTGATTTCTGAAGTTTGTCTGTATTTAGTTTGGTTACTGTCAGGGTTAGGGTTGGCTGGCTGTTTGAAGCCAAAGATGGTGGGTCTGAGGGCCGAATTTTCCGGCCCCTCCATTCCTGCACCAGAGCCAACCGCAGCGTGCCCAGGGTTGAGGTCATGTCGGAGGGACTGTGAGGAGGGCTGACAGAAGCCCACTCAAATTCAATACAAAGTTGTCTAAACCATTCTCAATCGTCCCAACAAGACCTCAGTGCACCCTACTGCTACCTGACTCCCATTCGATCCACCAACCTTCAGAATTATGTTAAATTTTTTCTTTAAATCTTTATATATTTTAAATATTATTTTATTTTAATCTATTTATAGATTTGTATAATTATATAAATTATACAATTATACAGGATCTTTAATTATACATTATATAATTTTTTGTTACAACTCTGCCTATAGGCACTTAGAGAAATCTAGTGCCAATAGGGTGTGCGCGCCGAAAGATAAGTTTGGTGGCCGTGAGTCGATTTTTTAGGCTATTTTAAGACCCTCACTTTGTACCTACTAATAAGCGTTTCTGTTTAATATATATATAAATTAAAAACGAAACTACTTACTATATATATATACTTTATATTTATAGAAGATAAAAATATATGTTAAACGGAAACGCTTGTGTGGGCGCTGCACGCAGAGAGTTACCCTAGACTTGGCACTGGATTTCTCTAAGTGCCTATGGGGCGTGCACGCCGGCAGATAAGTTTGGTGGCCGTGAGTCGATTTTTTAGGCTATTTTAAGACCCTCACTTTGTACCTCTGCATTACCCTTATTTCTTACCCAGTATGTAACCTAGTTTATTAGATAGCCTGATTTCTAAAGTTTATCTATATTTAGTTTGGTTACTGTCAGGGTTAGGGTTGGCTGGCTATTTAAAGCCAAAGATAGTGGGTCTGAGGGCTAAATTTTCCGGCCTCCCTATCTGCGCACCAGAGCCAACCCACGCATGCCCGCGGGTGAGACGATGTCGGAGGGACTGTGAGGAGGGCTGACAGAAGCCCACTCAAATTTAATACAAAGTTGTCCAAACCACTCTCAAGCATTCCAACAAGGCCTCCAGGCACCCTACTGTTACCTGACCATTCAATCCACTAACCTTTAGAATAACATACTATAGACTAGACCAAAACATTATTAGCTAATAAAGCGGTTTATTGTAAATTGCTTATTTTTCCTATATCTTCTATCTACTCTATATTGCTACTTCTATTACTATTATAAATTTTATTTTTTTTGGCTTCTTTTCTCTTATTTATTACTTTGTAATATTAGT